TCAGTCTGTTTTTTATACGACCGCAAAAAAATTTTTGTGGTCGTATATTGGTATGACGTTGGCGTCGTCGTCGTCCGGCAACGTCGTCCGAAGACACATTAGTTTTCGCACTCTAACTTTAGTTTAAGTGAATGGATCTCAATGAAATTTTACCATAAGGTTCAATACCACAAAAGGAAGGTGGGGGTTGATTTTGGGGGTTATGGTACCAACAGTTAAGGAATAAGGGGCCAAAAATAAGCATTTTTGTAACTTCCAGACATAACTTGTGTGTAAGTGTATGGATATCTCTGACATTGTACCACAAGGTTCCATATCACAAAGAAAATGCTGGGATTGATTTTGGGGGTAATTGCCTCCAAATTTTAGGAATTAGGGGCCAAAAAGGGGCAAAAAACAAACATTTTTCTAGTTTCAGGACAATAACTTGTGTGTAAGTGTATGGATCTCTCTGACATTGTATCGCAAGGTTCCATATCACAAAGGGAATGCTGGGATTGATTTTGGGGGTAATTGCCTCCAAATTTTAGGAAAAAGGGGCAAAAAACAAGCATTTTTTTAGTTTCATGACAATAACTTGTGCAAGTGTATGGATCTTTATGAAATTGTACTACAAGGTTCCATATCACAAAGGGAAAGCTGGAATTGAGTTTGGGGGTAATTGCCCAAAACGTTTAGGAATAAGGGGCCAAAAAGGGGCCAAAAATAAGCATTTTTCTAGTTTCCAGACAATAACTTGTGTTCAAGTGTATGGATCTCTCTGAAATTGTACTGCAAGGTACCATAACACAAATGGAAGGCTGGGATTGATTTTGGGGGTAATTCCCCCAAAATATTAGTAATTAGGGGCCATAAAAGGGCAAAAAAACAAGCATTTTTCTAATTTCAGGACAATAACTTGTGTGTAAGTGTATGGGTCTTTATGAAATTGTACTGCAAGGTTCCATATCACAAAGGGAAAGCTGGGTTTGAGTTTGGGGGTAATTGCCCTAAAGGTTTAGGAATTTGGGGCCAAAAAGGGGCCAAAAAACAAGCATTTTTCTAGTTTCCAGACAATAACTTGTTTTGAAGTGTATGGATCTCTCTGAAATTGTACTGCAAGGTACCATACCACAAAGGGAAAGCTGGGATTGGGTTTGGGGGTGATGAATCATAAGGGGGTTCAAAAAATTTGGGGGGGATTTTTTTTTCCTTTTTTTTCTTTAAAATTTTCCATTTTTAATTGGTTATTTCTGATTTATATATAAAAGCAAATAATAATGATATGGTTTGAATAGGTAAATTAAAAATTTTTAAGTTCTTATACCACTTTCATTCTGTGTCAGAAACCTTTGCTGTGTCAAATATTTAATTACAATCCAAATTCAGTGCTGTATCAAGCTTGAATGTTGTGTCCATACCTGCCCCAACTGTTCAGGGTTCGACCTCTGCGGTCGTATCAAGCTGCGCCCCAGCGGAGCATTTTATCTTAAACTATAAGCAATAGGTCAGCTATATTTGTTGTATGGAAGGATTGTAAGCTGTTCATGTCTGCCTGGCATGGTTCATCTGACCTTGATCTTATTTTCACGATTCATTGGTCAATGTTTAGTTTTCTTGGTTAAGTCTGTTTCTTAGAAACTATAAGCAATAGGTCAACTATATTTAGTGTATTAAATGATTGTAAGGTGTACATGTATTTCTTGTTTGGTTTATATGACCTTGACTTCATTTTCTTGGATCATGTTAAGTTTATGTAATAGTTGTAGTAAAGCTTTCATTTAGGACTATCAACATAATATCAATGGTTAGTAAAGAAGGCGAGACATTTCAGCATGTGCACTCTTGTATTCATTAAAAAAGGGGGGATTTTCCAGTTTTCCGACAATAACTCGAGAATGCTTTCACCAACTTGCAAGAAATTTTGGTGAATTGTTTATATCTATTGACATGAGCTCTCTTTTGATTTTTATGTTTTTACGTTTCCAGATACAGGGTTTTATTCATAAAAAAGGGTGATTTTCCAGTTTTCGGACAATAACTAAAAAAAGCTTTCAGCAGTTCTCATGAAACTTTGGTGAATTTTTTATATCTGTTGACGTAAGCTCCCTTTAGAATTTTATATATTTTTGATTTTACGTTTCCGAGTTACAGGGTTTTATACATAAAAAAAGGGGGATTTTCCAGTTTTCAGACAAAAAATCAAAAATGCTTTCAGCAGTTCTCATGAAACTTTGGTGAATTATTTATAGCTATTGATGTAATCTCCCTATTGATTCTCATAAATTTCAAATATAACATTGAGAAGAGATTGAACTTTATTGGTTTATAGTCTGGCAACAGATTTACTAAGTATTGCGCAACAGCACAGTGTATTGCACAAAGCAAGAAATCTTTAATTGAATATAAATTCAATTCATATAACCAATTTCGAGTTCTTTGACTACATTTATTCAGAAACCTATAATATGTCAAATATTTAATTACAATCCAAATTCAGACCTCTATCAAGCTTGAATATTGTGTCCATTTTTGCCCCAACTGTTCAGGGTTGGACCTCTGCGGGGGTATCCAGCTGCGCTCAGCGAAGCAGTTTATTCTAGTTTTCAGACAATTACCTGTGTTTAAGTGTATGGATGTCTCTTAATTTGTACCACATTTTACAAAAAGAAAATTTCTTCAAAATTATTTTTTTTGGAAAGGGGATGGGGGGGGGGATTTTTTTTCATCAAAAGAAAATTCTCTTTAAATATTATTTTTTTCGGAGTGGGGGGGGGGGGGGGGGGGGGGGTGGGGAGGGGTGGGTAAAACAAAAATTTTTGGGAGGGTCATATTTTTTTCCTCAACATATCTAAGAAATTGTCAATTTTCCAAAGAAAAAAATTGGGGGTCACAATTTATTTTGCTAATTCTTTGTATATATATAGTCTGAAAACAGATTTACTAAGTATTGCTCAACAGCACAGTGTATTGCACAACAGCAAGAAATCTTTAATTGAATATAAATTCAATTCATATAACCAATTCAAGTTCTTTGACTACATTTATTGAGAAACCTATAATATTTCAAATATTTAATACAATCCAAATTCAGACCTGTATCAAGCTTGAATATTGTGTCCATTTTTGCCCCAACTGTTCAGGGTTGGACCTCTGCGGGCGTATCCAGCTGCGCTCAGCGAAGCAGTTTATTCATTCATTGTTTTGTACATAAATCAGGCCATTAGTTTTCTTATGCCCCACCTACGATAGTAGTAGGGGCATTATGTTTTCTGGTCTGTGTATCCGTTCGTTTGTCCGTCTGTCTGTCCGTCCATTTGTCCCGCTTCAGGTTAAAGTTTTTGGTCAAGGTAGTTTTTGATGAAGTTGAAGTCCAGTCAACTTGAAACTTAGTACACATGTTCCCTATGATATGATCTTTCTAATTTTAATGCCAAATTAGAGTTTTGACCACAGTTTCACGGTCCACTGAACATAGAAAATGATAGTGCGAGTGGGGCATCCATGTACTACATGTACTATGGACACATTCTTGTTTGAATTGTTTTACATTTGTGATTTCGGGGCCTTTTATTGCTGACTATGCAGTATGGGTTTTGTTCATTGTTAAAGGCTGTATGGTGACCTATAGTTGTTAACTATCTATGTCATTTGGTTTTTTGTGGAGAGTTGTCTCATTGGCAATCATACATTGTACCACATCTTCTTATTTTTATACATGTTTGTGCACTTTCTAATTGAAATATAAAACCAAAAACTGATTTTTAGCACTGAAAATGTAGCTTTTATTTTTAATACTCCTTCAAACATTTGTTACCACTCATCTAAGGCTTTGTCCTAATCCTGTTCATGGCAGATCAAATCTCTTTCATTAAACACTACAACTCCATGAATTCTGACAATAAACAAAAATTGTTTTGTATTATAGTGGTTTAGTAGTTCTTAAAGGGGCTAAGGGGTGAAAACAGAACTTTCACATTGAACGTACTTGTAGAATTTTGATTATTTGACTCCTTCTTGACAAGAACATTTGGTATTGACATTAGATATTTTCGTAGCTGTTATGGTGTCCATATTTAAAGAGCCCATTTGATGTTAAACCCCTAGATTTGATATTTTTATGCAAAGACTATATTTTTTCATAACATGTGAAAATTCTTGCTTGGGTTTTGTCAGCTGTATTTGTAGTAGGTCTTGCAATTTTGTTTTTACAGAGGACAAATAGCAATAAACTGCTTCGCCGAGTTACAGGGTTTTATACATAAAAAAAGGGGATTTCCAGTTTTCAGACAAAAAATCAAAAATGCTTTCAGCAGTTCTCATGAAACTTTGGTGAATTATTTATAGCTATTGATGTAATCTCCCTATTGATTTTCATAAATTTCAAATATAACATTGAGAAGAGATTGAACTTTATTTGTTTATAGTCTGGCAACAGATTAACTAAGTATTGCGCAACAGCACAGTGTATTGCACAAAGCAAGAAATCTTTAATTGAATATAAATTCAATTCATATAACCAATTTCGAGTTCTTTGACTACATTTATTCAGACACCTATAATATGTCAAATATTTAATTACAATCCAAATTCAGACCTCTATCAAGCTTGAATATTGTGTCCATTTTTGCCCCAACTGTTCAGGGTTGGACCTCTGCAGTCGTATCCAGCTGCGCTTGGCGAAGCAGTTTATTAATTTTTATTTAAATTCTTTTTTTTTTATATTCAACTGCTTTTAAGTACAAGAAATGGGTAATGTAAAAACTTGTAACCAGCAGTAATGTACAACTCTAGTGTATGTATTATCTGATATTTCAGAAACTGTTTCTGCTACAAAATTGATCATCATTTTGAATTTATTTATTATTTGTACAAAATGCAGTCTTGTTTAGAACCAAGAATGAAGATATTAACCATTGGATTAATTGTTGTTTTCTTATTGTCCGGTCAGACACAAATATTTTATGCATATTCAGGATGAAGATATTTTTCCTTTTAACATTTGGAATTGAATTTTTCAGGCTTGGCAGCATATTTATATTTAAGATTTAAAGACACAGAAAAGTATAAACCATATAAAAGGAAAAAGGAAATATTCCTTATAGACACTGTTGAAGATTACGAAAGTTTTATAAATACCGTCAGAATTGAAAAGGTTAGTTTTTTGAGGCACAAAATTCATTTAAGGACATGATAATGGGAAAATGTAAAGTATAAATACTCATTGATCATGAGTCAATAGTATTTGAACAAAATACAGCTATTTACAGTACCATATTCACTACCGGTAGAACTTTTGTACATGACGTAAGAGCTAATTGAGAAAAAGATGTATTGGTATGGAACTCTATGACTTTCAAAATTTGCAATGCTTAGGTGGTGAATCTTCAAATAAATTTTAAGAAAGATATCTTTTCTCATATTTTTATTAAATTTGCATGATTATTGGGAACACAGTGCCTTTTAAATCACAAACAATTTCTTTTTTAAATGCTACAAAATATTTAGTCCATTATTATTCAAAAAAGTATTGCTAATATTATTGCTCATATTGTTTCATGAAATAGTATTGTGAGTCCTCAATATTCAAAAAATTATGTTCTAAATTTGTGTTTCAGGTTTTAGGACTAGATTGTGAATGGGTGTCCTTCAGTGGTAAGAGGCGTCCTGTTGCTCTGTTACAATTAGCAACACCACTTGGACAATGTGCATTGATTCGTTTAGATCGAATGGACTCTTTTCCCAAATCATTGCAAGATATATTAGCAGATAAAAGGTACGTTCTTTTCAATGATCTTGAATTTTTTAAGGAATATTATTTTTTAGTATCAGAACTACAACAAATGGGCACAGACAAAGGCAAACCAGATGTGATGCAGATAGTCACCTAGGGCCAAAAAGCAAGAACAAGATTGCTTATAAACAAAAGATCAATGGACAAAGGCAAAACTTGTATATCACTGATATTAACCTCATACCATAAAGCAAACTCAAGATAAAACAAAAGCCCACCCATGCACCAACAAAAGATCACACACAAACTGCTGAACAAAACTGAACAACCAATTTATGTCCTATGACAGACACTATGAAAAGTTGTGAGAATATACATTGATTTATTGAAAGTTTATGATGCAGATGTCACTTTGTTTGGCCCTGATTGCTGATACATTCTGGAAAATGTGTGATTTGAAATAAGGATGAATGCTAAAATTTTAATGCTGCTGTCAGCTGACAGAAATGAATAGATGAACATTCAGAATTATCATTTACAATCCTTGTTTGATATCTGAAAAAATATGCTAATTTCCTATCTTACAATGACACCACATAATGGTATTAATAAGAGCAACAATTTCTTGTTATTGATTTTTTTATGATAGAATTTTGAAATATCATTCAGATTGTAAATTGTAAATAATATACGATTAGTCTACACATTAAAATTTGGAAGGCTAGACTAATGAGACTGTTTCAAGATAAATTTGAAGTTGAAATTTTATATCTCTGTGTTTACTGTCTTTAGCATACTGAAAGTAGGGGTTGCAGTGAAAGAAGATGGCAAAAAACTTCACCTGGATTATGGACTAGTAGTTGAAGGATGTGTAGATTTAAGACATGTCCTTAATAGAGTCAGAGGAATATACACCTGGTATGTTAAAATAGTATTTGTTCAGTAGTCTTTTGTAGTTCATTCAGTGTGTACAGAGCTAAGTGTTTAAGATTCTAACTTTATAGCGGGAATAGAAAAACACCAAACTACAATTTTTTTCTTTCTCTTTAAAAAATTGCAAAAATCAGGTTGGTGGGTTCATAAACCAACAAATTAAAAAACCCACCCCAAATAGAGCCTCTGGTATATTACATCAACTGACATAGTTAAACAAGATAGGCTTCGGCAAGTACTCTAAATAGTTACAAATCTACAATAGACATGATGGTGTCTTATTTATAAATCAAAGCACATTCTTTATGATTGGTTTACCACAAAATGGGAAAAACAAACATGAAACTTGTACAATACCCTTTATTGCATAAATTATGAGATAACACACATAAAAGTTTATAGTTTAGAAAGGTACTCTTCATGCTAGTAATGTTGACTATTAGAGATGAATAAAACTTATCCAGTAGTGTATTTTTAGTCGTAGTAAAGGACTACAGGGTCAAGCTGAGAGTATATTAGGAGTAATGTTAGATAAAAGTAACCATATAAGATGTGGAGACTGGGAAGCTGATGATTTATCACAAGAACAGGTAAATATGATTTATACAGTAGCGGAGGGGGCATTAAGTTTTACCCTTGTACATCTGTACGTCCGTCCGTACGTCCCAAAGTTGGTTTTTCCGTTCTTTAACTTTAGTTTGCCTCAACCAAATGTTTCTGAAACTTTTACACAATGCTTATTACCACAAAACACAGATCAAGATTGAATTTTGGTGGTGTCACTATAACTGTTCTAGAGTTATGCTCCTTTACAAATGGAAAAATTGCTGAATTTCTGTTTTCTAACTTTAGTTTGCCTCAACCAAATGTTATGAAACGTAATTACCACATAATACAGATCAAGTTCGAAATTGGGTGGTGTAACTTTTACAATTCTTGAGTTATGCCCCTTTATAAACATAAAAACTGCTGAATTTTTGGTTTCCATTCTCTAACTTTAGTTTGCCTCAACCAAATGTTATGAAACTTATACACAATGCTTATTACTACATAATACAGATCAAGTATAAAATTGGGTGGCATCACTTGTACCTTTCTTGAGTTATGCCTCTTTATAAACATAAAAATTGCTGAATTTTTTGTTTCCTTTCTCTAACTTTAGTTTGCCTCAACCAAATGTTATGAAACTTATACACAATGCTAATTACCACAAAATACAGATCAAGTTTAAATTTTGGTGGTGTCACTTTTACCGTTCTAGAGTTATGCCTGTTTACAAATGGAAAAAATTGCTGAATTTTTCGTTTCTGTTCTCTAACTTAAGTTAGCCTCAACCACCACAAAACTCAGATCAAGTACAAATTTGGGTGCGTCACTTTTACTGTTCTTCAGTTATGTCCCTTTATAACTTTATATGATATGCAAGCGGGGGCATCATCTGTGTCCCATGGACACATTCCCCATTTATTACATTAGTTAACTGTTGAGAAATATATTTTACTGATGTGAGAACTATATATTGTACATAGTTTTTACTTTGTGGTTCACTCAAGATACCTGCCTAGTTTTATATATATCTCTTCTTTCACATGCTTTGAAAAGTTTCTAATTATAAGAATTAAGTAATTTTATTGATACATCTTTACAAAATAAAATATCATGGCATATAACTTACATTAACAAAAAAGGCTGACACTTAAAGTTGGAAGAATTTTCCTCACAAAAGTTTACTATAGACAGATAGATTATTACCTAACAATCTTGTACTTTGGAACTATGAATATTATTTCCAATATAAAAGGCATCAATAGTCTTCAGAGAATACAAAGATTCACCCACCTGGTTTACATCTTAGTCAATAGTCCACTCTTTTATATAATAAATCATCTACCTTTTTCATGTAGGAACTGATTGTGTATGGTGCATTGGTGCTATACTGAGATTTTAAGGTTATCATAGGTTTAAAAAAAAAAAAATTTAATTTTAGATAGAGTATGCAGCCAATGATGCATTAGTAGGTGTAGATATATTTATGAACTTAGTCTTGGCCAAAATGTGGGGCAAGAAACCAGATATAAATATAGAAGATATTTTCACAGCTGTTGATGAAACCGAATTTTGGACATTTACAAGATCTTTGATACAAGGGACAGTAGATGTTAATGTTGGGGGACCATGGAATTCTAAAAATCCTGCTTATAAAGGACCACAACTAACAAATGATGAAGAGGTATGTTTTCTTGCTATTGGTAAAGATTGGTCAATTGGTTTTTGGTGTTTTACACCACTTTCAGCACTATTTGCTATTATGTGGCGTTAAAATTTTATTGGTAGTGGAAGCCGGTGTACCTTGAGAGAATCACCACCTTCAGCAGGAAAACTGACAATCCTTGTCAATTAAGATTGGAGGTGAACTAACTAACTCAGAGTTAACTGTTGGCCTTTTATAGCCATCTATACGGTATGGGTTTTTATACGACCGCAAAAATTTTTGCGGTCGTATATTGGTATGACGTTGGCGTATTCGTTGTCGTCGTCGTCGTCCAAAGACACATTGGTTTTCGCACTCTAACTTTAGTTTAAGTGAATGGATCTCTATGAAATTTTACCATAAGGTTCAATATCACAAAAGGAAGGTTGGGATTGATTTTGGGGGTTATGGTACCAACAGTTAAGGAATTAGGGGCCAAAAAGTGGCAAAAAATAAGCATTTTGTAACTTCCAGACATAACTTGTGTGTTAGTGTATGGATCTCTCTGACATTGTACCACAAGGTTCCATATCACAAAGGGAATGCTGGGATTGAATTTTGGGTTAATTGCCTCAAAATATTAGGAATTAGGGGCCAAAAAAGGGGCAAAAAACAAGCATTTTTCTAGTTTCATGACAATAACTTGTGTGAAAGTGTATGGATCTTTCTGAAATTGTACTACAAGGTTCCATATGACAAAGGGAAAGCTGGAATTGAGTTTGGGGGTAATTGCCCGAAACGTTTAGGAATAAGGGGCCAAAAAGGGGCCAAAAAACACATTTTTCTAGTTTCCAGACAATAACTTGTGTTGAAGTGTATGGATCTCTCTGAAATTGTACTGCAAGGTACCATACCACAAAGGGAAGGCTGGGATTGAGTTTGGGGGTGATGAATCATAAGGGGGTTTAAAAAATTGGGGGAGGGAGGGGTTCCTTTTTTTTTTCTTTCAAATTTTCCATTTTAAATTGGTTATTTCTGATTTATATATAAAAGCAAATAATAATGATATGGTTTGAATAGCTACCGGTAAATTAAAAAATTTTAAGTTCTTAGACCACATTCATTCTGTGTCAGAATCCTGTGCTGTGTCAAATATTTAATCACTATCCAAATTCAGTGCTGTATCAGGCTTGAATGTTGTGTCCATACTTGCCCCAACTGTTCAGGGTTCGACCTCTGTGGTCGTATCAAGCTGCACCCAGTGGAGCATTTTATTATAGTGATGCTGTAGTTGAACTACTTAGACCACTTGTCCAACAAGGCCGCTGCTATGATAAAGAAGAATTACCTTTATGATTTTCATTTTCCTATCTATACTTTTGATGTATTTGAATCAGAAAACTGCAAAAATTCAATAATCCACTATATAAAGGGGTCTTTAACTTTAGTAGTTAATTGCCCTAAAGTTTTTAAAGGCAGTGCTTTAATGCCTTTCTAGTTGCCGGGTTAATCCTTCCTTCCGCGATATCCAACTTATCTACGTGGGGGGTCATTAGGCTCCAAGTAGATCCGGAAATGTTGAATTCTCTCCTCTTCTTATTGCGATATAAAATGTTTTTTGTTTCATTTCATTTACATTGGGAAATAGAGAAACGATCATTGTGTTTTGTTAGTTTTAAAAACTTTTGATATATTAGTATTTTGCATTATAAGCAGTCAACCGATTGACAAACTAGAATTATTTGAATTCCGTGTGGAAAGAGCTCGTGTTAATTTCGAGTGTTATCTGCAATCTAGATGTTTATAAATCATTTCAGTCGTTGATATAATAATTAAGAGTCGACTGAACATTAATTATATTATACAATTTAAAGCGCATTTCTGTTTATGCACGTGAACCCGTCTAACGTTATTGTTATTTCGCAGTTATATAAAGTAGCAAATTATCGTTCCTGAATAGGTGGCGCCGTGGTAGCCGATCCTGTTCCTCAACTTCCGGTTTCTGCACTGTGCAACTATTTCAGTTACATTTTAAATTAACGATGCCAAGTACTTGTTGTTGTGTACCTGGGTGTCATTTAAGAGGAGGCAAGCATTTCCAAATGACTTAAAAAGAAGGTAAAGTTGGATCATCGCCATGGCCCAAACACAGATTGGACGAGAACACGATTTCATCGTGGAGTCCATCTCAATCAGCTGTTGTTTGCAAGGCACATTTTACTGAAAAAGACTACGTGCAGGAAACTATTCATGGTAAAACTCTATTTTCTTTTTGAAATATATAGTTATATATGTAATCGCCATGCGAATAAACCAAAGTCTGTTTACAACCGCAATTATCGTTTTAGAATAAAAGGGGGTGGTTAATTCAAGACGTCATAATTTTTGGATTACGATTCAATGTGATCTGTTTGAGATTTTTTGGTGATTGCTACAGTTATAATGATTTCTTACAAGAGGTATATCATACTGAGAATTATTTTAGCAGTAATTATGCTAATGTAGTAATGACAGGAATGCATAAGCTATGCCTCATAGACTTTCTTGAAAAATATCAATGACAATGTTAACAGGAACAAAACAATGACATGCTCTCATCAATATTATAGTTATTTAGGTACAAACAATGTACGTTTGTTGCATAAGTCTCTCATTGTTTGTCCTTTGGATTTACATAACATACATTGAATCAGGCAAACATAGTTTTATCCAGATTGTAATGAATAAATCTAGTTAATATTTCGCCAGGTAATACAAAGTATACATTGCTAATGGAAGTTCATTTAATTATCAAAAAACTAATGTTTTATAACCTTTTTCAGGGCGCAAACCCACCATACAGAGACTTAAGTCTACTGCCATTCCCAGCCTATTTTCCTGGACCAAGCAAGAGACTGAATCGTCCGCAAAAAGAAAAATCAGGGCAGTTTCCTGTGAAAACAAAAGAACTAAACTTGATGAATATTGTAGTAGAAATCTAGAGGAAAGTTTTGATTGTAAAGTTGGTTTTCCTGAAGAAGTCATTCATACTGCAGAAAGGATTTATGACTGTCCACCACCAACTGCTGAGCTAATGTTGAGCTTCAAAGATGGAATTACGCAAACACCATCAATGTCTATGTTTTCAGCAGAGAATTTTGAAATGAAGACATGTGACACAGCCATGCATTTTTATACCAGTTTAGAGTTGTATACTAAATTTTTATTTGTTTTGACCACACTTGGTCCAACAGCACATTGTTTGAGATACTGTATTACATATATTTTCAAATTGATAGGGTGTCAGTTGAAAATCAATTTTTTTATGATTTTGATGAAATTGAGGCATTATACAACCAACTTTGAACTTTCTAGATTCTAGATTGAATCTAGTGTTAAGAATATTGTGTATACATGGATTGTTTTTATGCCTAAACAGTGGTGTGAGGCTAACACTTGGCCATCTAGTGGTTTAGTCAGGCATTTTTCGCCATCCAACTTCAAATTAAAGTTTCCTACGACTTGGATTATTATTGACAGCACAAAATATCCCGTGATAAAACTAAAGCTCCTAGAGCTCAGGCAACCTTTTCATCATATAAAAACAGAAACACTGAAAATACTTGTATGTTCGACGCCTGGTGGTTTAGTCAACTATGTCTCTAATGCATATGTTGGTTCTACCAGTGACTATGAAATAGTTGAAAGATGTAGAATACAAAATGTAGTTCAATTATGTGATCCAGCCATCCAGGTGACAGTGTGATGGCAGACAAAGGTTTAAATGTGCAAGATTTTTTTGCTAACTTTTTTCAAAAAAAGAAACAGAATTAGTTCCAAAACTCTTATACGGGATAGAAAAGTCTCCAATTAACATGTGCACATAGAGCGAATTATTGGACTTGGCAAAACATACAAAATTCTAACAAATCCTATGAATGGAACTGAAACAAAACTTTCATCTGAAATAACATTTAGTTGTTTTATGTTGTGTAATTTTAGAACTTGTATTGTGCCAATGGATGCAGAAATAAAAGTGACGCAATGAATTTTGTTCTGATATATATATATTTATAATTACATGCCCATACCGTACAGTCAGCTATAAAAGGCCCCGAAATGACAATGTAAAACAATTCAAACAAGAAAACTAACGGCCTAATTTATGTACAAAAAATGAACGAATATAACAAATATGCAACACATAAACAAACGACAACCACTGAATTACAGGCTCCTGACTTGGGACAGGCACATTACATGTACATACAGAATGTGTCGGGGTTAAACATGTTAGCGGGATCCCAGCCTTCCCCCTAACCTGGGACAGTGGTGTAACAGTACAATATAAGAACGAACTATAAAAATCAGTTGAAAGAGGCTTAACTCATCAGATGGATAAATACAAATACAAGTGGACGTGGTCGGGTAGTTGTACATCCAAACAACAAAAAGACACTAAGTACAGATCTGAGAGTACTCGCAGTTACTGACAGCTAGTTCAAAGCCACTAACAACTGATAAAAAAATCTTGCATCTAAGACTAAATTATCAATCCGTAAGCTCCCTTTAGAATTTTATAAATTTTAGATTTTACATTTCTGAGTTATGGGGTTTTATTGGGATTTTCCAGTTTTTATCGAGCCTGCGACTTTTGTCGCAGAAAGCTCGACATAGGGATAGTGATGTGGCGGCGGCAGCATTAGCTAACTTCTTAAAAGCTTTATATTTTAGAAGGTGGAAGACCTGGATGCTTCATACTTTGTATATGGATGCCTCATGTTACGAAGTTTCCGTCAGCCACATGTCCAATGTCCTTGACCTCATTTTCATGGTTCAGTGACTACTTGAAAAAAAAGTTAACATTTTTTGTAATGTTAAATTCTCTCTTATTATAAGTAGTAGGATAACTATGTTTGGTATGTGCGTACCTTGCAAGGTCCTCATGCCCGTCAGACAGTGTTCACTTGACCTCGACCTCATTTCATGGATCAGTGAACAAGGTTAAGTTCTGGTGGTCAAGTCCATATCTCAGATACTATAAGCAATAGGTCAAGTATATTCGGTGTATGGAAGGACTGTAAGGTGTACATGTCCAACTGGCAGGTGTCATCTGACCTTGACCTCATTTTCATGGTTCAGTGGTAATAGTTTAGTTTTTTGTGTTTTGGTCTGTTTTTCTTATACTGTATGCAATAGGTCTACTATATTTGGTGTATGGAATGATTGTAAGATGTACATGTCTAGCTGGCAGGTGTCATTTGACCTTTACCTCATTTTCATGGTTCAGTGGTCAAAGTTAAGATTTTGAGTTTTGGTCTTTTTGTCGAGCCTTCGACTTTAGTCGAAAAAGCGAGACATAGCGATCCTACATTCCGTCGGCGTCGTCGTTGTCGTCGGCGGCGTCCACAAATATTCACTCTGTGGTTAAAGTTTTTGAAATTTTAATAACTTTCTTAAACTATCCTTGATTTCTACCAAACTTGGGCAGAAGCTTGTTTATGATCATAAGATAGTATCCAGAAGTAAATTTTGTAAAAATAAAATTCCATTTTTTCAGTATTTTACTTATAAATGGACTTAGTTTTTCTGCCGGGAAATATTACATTCACTCTGTGGTTAAAGTTTTTAAAATTTTAATAACTTTCTTAAACTATCCTGGGTTTGTACCAAACTTGGACAGAAGCTTGTTTATGATCATAAGATAGTATCCAGAAGTAAATTTTGTAAAAAAATAAATCCATTTTTTCCTTATTTTACTTTTAAATGGACTTAGATTTTCTGCCAGGAAACTACACATTCACTCTGTGGTTAAAGTTTTTAAAATGTTAATAACTTTCTTATACTATTTTGGATTTGTACCAAACTTGGACAGAAGCTTGTTTATGATCAAAAGCTAGTATCTAGAAGGAAATTTTGTAAAAAAAATAAATCCATTTTTTCTATTTTTTACTTTTAAATGGACTTAGATTTTCTGCCAGGAAACAACACATTCACTCTGTGGTTAAAGTTTTTAAAATTTTAATAACTTTCTTATACTATTTTGGATTTGTACCAAACTTGGACAGAAGCTTGTTTATGATCAAATGCTAGTATCTAGAAGGAAATTTTGTTTTCTTCCAGTTAACATTACATTCAGTCTGCAGTTAAAGTTTTTAAACATTTATTAGATTCATAAACTATCCTGGATTTTTACCAAACTTGGACAGAAGCTTCTTACAATCAAAAGATAGTATCAAGAGGAATATTTTTATTGATTTACTTCCTCATTTTTGTTGAGCCTGCGATTAACAGAAAAAGTAGGCGAGACACTGGGTTCCGCGGAACCCTTACGAATTTTTTTCTAATACTATATGCAATAGGTCAACTACATTTGGTGTATGGAAATAATTTATGATCTTTATGTCAGTCGCGCAGGTTTTATTTGACCTTCACCTCATTTTCACAATTCATTGCTCTGTTAAGTTTTTATACGCCCGTTTACGGGACGTATTATGGTATACCGTTGTCCATCTGTCCGTCCGTCGTCAACATGTCGGACATTAACTCAAAAATGCTTTTACCAATTTGCAGAAAACTTTGGTGAATTGTTTATATCTATTGACGTGAGCTCCCTTTCATTTTTTATAAAATTTAGATTTTACTTTTCCGAGTTATGGGGTTTTATTCATTAAAAAAAGGGGGATTTCCAGTTTCGGACAATAAGTCAAGAATGCTTTCACCAACTTGCAAGAAATTGTGGTGAATTGTTTATATCTATTGACATGAGCTCCCTTTCGATTTTTATAAATTTTAGATTTTATGTTTCTGAGTTACAGGGTTTTATTCATAAAAAAGGGGGGATTTTCCAGTTTTCGGACAAAAACTCTAAAATGCTTTCAGCAATTCTTATGAAACTTTGGTGAATTGTTTGTATGTATTGATGTAAGCTCCCTTTATAATTTTATAAATTTTACATTTTACATTTCTGAGTTATGGGGTTTTATTCATTAAAAAAAGGGGTGATTTTCCAGTTTTCGAACAATAACTCAAATATGCTGTCACCAATTCTCATGAAACTTTGGTGAATTGTTTATATCTATTGTTGTAAGCTCCCTTTTTATTTTCATAAATTTCTAATATGACATTGAGAATTAATTGAACTTTATTTGTTTATAGTCTGACAACAGGTTTACTAAGTATTGCACAACAGCAAGAAATCTTTATTTGCATATTCAATTCAGATAACCAATTTAAAGGTCTTTGACTACATTTATTCAGAAACCTATAATATGTCAAATATTTAATTACAATCCAAATTCAGACCTGAATCAAGCTTGAATATTGTGTCCATTTTTGCCCCAACTGTTCAGGGTTTGACCTCTGCGGGCGTATCTAGTTGTGTTTTGGTCTGTTTTTCTTAAACTATAAGCAATAGGTCAACTATATTTGTTGTATGGAAGAATTGATAGCTGTACATGCCTGCCTGGCATGGTTCATCTGACCTTGACCTCATTTTCATGGTTCATTGGTCAATGTTTAGTTTTCTTGGTTAATGTTAAGTTTATGTGACAGTTGTGATAAAGCTTTATATTAAGGACTATCAACATAATATCAGTGATTAGTAAAGAAGGCGAGACATTTCAGCGTGTGCACTGTTGTTGGACAACAACTCAAAAATGCTTTAAGCAGTTCGCATGAAACTTTGGTGAATTATTTATAGCTATTGATGTAATCTCCCTATAGATTTTCATAAATTTCAAATATGACATTGAGAAGAAATTGAACTTTATTTGTTTATAGTCTGGCAACAGATTTATTAAGTATTGCACAACAGCACAGTTTATTGCACAACAGAAAGAAATCTTTAATTGAATATAAATTCAATTCATATAACCGATTTCAAGTTCTTTGACTACATTTATTCAGAAACTATAATATGTCAAATATTTAATTACAATCCAAATTCAGACCTGTATCAAGCTTGAATATTGTGTCCATTTTTACCCCAACTGTTCAGGGTTTGACCTCTGGGGGTGTATCCAGCTGCGCTCAGCGAATCAGTTTATTTCTTAATTAAGAACTCCTTTTTTATACGACCGCAAAAATTGAAAATTTTTTGGTCGTATATTGGTATGACGTTGGCGTCGTCGTCGTCTGGCGTCGTCCGGCGTCGTCCGAAGACACATTGGTTTTCGCACTCTAACTTTAGTTTAAGTGAATGGATCTCCATGAAATTTTACCATAAGGTTCAATACCACGAAAGGAAGGTTGGGATTGATTTTGGGGGTTATGGTACCAACAGTTAAGGAATTAGGGGCCAAAAAGGGGCCAAAAATAAGCATTTTTGTAACTTCCAGACAATAACTTGTGTGTAAGTGTATGGATCTCTCTGACATTGTACCACAAGGTTCCATATCACAAAGGGAAGGCTGTAATTGATTATGGGGGTAATTGCCTCAAAATTTTAGGAATTAGGGGCCAAAAAAGGGGCAAAAAACAAGCATTTTTCTAGATTCATGACAATAACTTGTGTGTAAGTGTTTGGATATTTCTGAAATTGTACTACAAGGTTCCATATCACAAGGGGAAAGCTGGAATTGAGTTTGGGGGTAATTGCCCTAAACGTATAGGAATTGGGGGCCAAAAAGGGGCCAAAAATAAGCATTTTTCTAGTTTCCAGACAATAACTTGTGTTCAAGTGTATGGATCTCTCTGAAATTGTACTGCAAGGTACCATACCACAAAGGGAAGGCTGGGATTGAGTTTGGGGGTGATGAATCATAAGGGGGTTCAAAAAATTTAGGGGGGGGGGGGGGTTTCTTTTAAAATTTTCCATTTTAAGTTGGTTATTTCTGATTTATATTTAAAAGCAAATAATAATGATATGGTAGGAGATACACACCAAACAGGATGTGTAAATTATTATATAATAAGTATTGTGCAATAGCAAGAAATTTTCAATTGCACAGTATTGCACAATAGCAAGAAATCTTCAATTGCACAGTATTGCGCAATAGCAAGAAATCTTCAATTGCACAGTATTGTGCAATAGCAAGAAATATCCAAT